GGATAAAAGAGATGAATGAAATAATTTCGAAAATATGTTTCCTCACATTCAATATCCAATTCACTTATCTGGGTGAATTTCCTCTCTCTGATAAGCAACATGCCCCAGCTTGGGAGTTAGACACACTTGGGTTTAAATTCTGACTAATCTGCTTACTAGCTCTCCCGTCTTGAGCAAGTAACTCTTACTCTTCAACGAGTAAATGTCCCTACATCCTTAAAAGTTTCAGCATCTTCTTCCTCTTCAATGAACCTTCTCACAGTCTTCTTGCTTGAAAGCCAGCTCGTTTCTAAGAACATTTCCCCTGAGGTCTTCTGAAGATTGGCTTATGTTCATTTTCTCATATCCCACTTGCCTTAGACGTTGCCCCCTCCCCAAGATCTCATCCCCAACTGTTATTGTCAGATACTAGGTATCCCTTTCCCTTTGAAACAAAAAAATAACAAAATAAAATGGAATTTAAAAAATAAAATAAACCCTGCTTTTGTGACACTTTCACATTCATTTGTACAAGCTTCTTTTCTCCTTTAACAATCAAAATTCTGTGGACATACCTTTATTCATTGATCCCTTTGTCATCAATCTAGGTACTCCCAGAGGGCAGCCTTCTTCTCCCACCCAAACTCTTGCCATCATTTCAGATGACTTCAACAACCATGAAGATGCCTTCACATTTTAGCCTCTCCATTCCTAGACCACCTCATTTTCAATTTTCCTCTTTACAATTGTACTATATCCACCCATCTCACATAGTCAAGTCTTGGGCTGTGTCATCACTAGAAATGGTGCCATCTCTGAAATCCTGAATTAAAACCATTATTAAACCATTAAAAAGCCATCTCTGAAATCCTGAATTAAAACCATTATAAAACTATGATTTTAGAACCATTAAAATTATGGCTTCCTATCATTTCAGCTCACATGTTGGGTACTGCTGCAGCAACAATTTTTCACCCTTATTATGAATTCTGATCCATTAACCCCACAATATTCTATCTACTAGGCCCCTGCCCCTTGTTATCATTCTTTGACTGACTTACGTTCTATAATTCCCTATCGTGATCACCCTTTTGCAAATATCATCACCTCTGTTGACTTCCTCTGCTTTTTTTTCCCCACCTACCCATAAAACTCTAACCTTGAATTCACTCAGCCACACACATTCCTATTACCTGTATCCAAGCAGCAGAGGGTTGCTGGAGAAAATCTTCCAATCATCTTTATAGTACTAAAAATAGTGTTCACCAGCTCCATTTGGGATCTCACTCTTGCAACCCTAGGTTTTCATATATGCAAATCCTTCCTACCTTCTCCAAATCTCCAATACTTCCCCCCACTACTCTTCAGAGGTGGCAATATCCTTTACTTCATTGAGAAAACACAGAAGCTTTCAAATGACATTCTCCTCATTTTCCAGTGCCATGTCAACAAATCTATCTCCATGTTCCCATTCTCTCCTTCTACCCTCCTGATAATGCAGAAAATATCCCTTTTTCCATAGGCCAGTCCTTCCACATGAGCTCTGGGTTCCATTCCATCAACTCTCAGGGGCTCCATTCATCTGTAATCCTTTCTAGTTTGTACCTTAGTTTCTTGTTGTCAACTTGAGTCTTCCTATAAAAATCCAACATGTTCTGATATAAAATTGTCCCTGGACCCCCACATGTCTCCCTACATACTGCTGTTTCTCTCTACTTCCTTTATAGCCAAACTTTTAAAGTAAGTTGTTGACACTTGATTTTTCCACTTCCTCTGATTTCTTTCATTCTTCGATCCATATTTTCACATTACCAAAAGCAAAGTGTGATTTTGAGTCCTCATATTATTTTATTTCTTCGCATCCAACTCCAACATCATTTTTTTTCTATTTCTTAGACTTCGTTGCCATACCTATCTTGATCTTCCATGACATCCTCATTCTCTAATCACAAATATTTATCATCTTCTTTTTCTCAAAGTTTCAATATCCAGCAATTCAGCAAAGCTTGACTTTTTTTCCTTCTCAAAATCTAACTCCATCTGTTCTTTCCATTCCCTGCAATGATCTCTACTCAGTCAACGAGTACGTCTCTGTTCTTAGTTTCCTGACAGCTACATTAAGCCAACTGGGTACTGCTCAGTCTTCCTTTTTCTTGCCTTCTCAGCAGCACTGCTACTTGTACTGCCAACTTCACCTCATGCTGGCCATTCACTGAATCATCCTTGTAACTGATCTGCCTGACTTAGGTATGTACGTTGCACAACATTTTAATTTCCACTGTCAGTCCAACTTCCTAATACACAAGTTGTACACAGTAAAACTCTATAGCTCTTTCTCCAACCCCTCTTCCTCTCTTTGCCATATACTCAAAAAATAATTAGTTGCTTATTTCATCTACAAAAAAATCTCTGGGCCAACAATCAAATTCTATATAATAAAGCTCTTATTCACTCATAGAACTTCTTCTCCTGTAGTTTTTCACATATTTATTCTAACCACATTTCACTCTCCACAGTTACCTAAGAACATCTTGCACATCCTATTTTTGCACACCATATTATCTCTCTGATATGCCTTTTTTCCTCTTTTTTTGCAGAATAAGACCTGTACTATTACTCTCCTGTGGTATGATAATGAGAAAAACCCATAAATATACAGTTTTGTTATCAAATTGTAGGCATGTTTATGTTACGGTAGAAACTGTATGTTAAGGGTGGATAGTTAATTAATAGAAAAACCAGGCTGAAGGTAACAATTAAAAATAAGCACACACATACATCTTAAACATTTTATTTTAATTTTATACATAGAAAGGATATTTATTTACAATCTTGGGATGCATAGCCATGGCCATTACTTAGATTAGCCAGATTTTAGTTCCCCATCATCTTTCTGTAGTGGCTTAGGTTTCTCTATTAGGTAACTAAATTCTATGATTTCCAGTCTCCATTTTTTTAAGACAAATAACTAGCTAAATTTTTTCAAATAACCTGCATTTAGAAGGGAATGCTTTTTGTTTTTCATATTTTTTTTCTCCAAACTTAGAGAATGGTCTTGTCCACACCAAATAAACATTTTTTAAAAATGTCTTGCATTCATTCAGTCTTTCCAACGCATTCAGTTTCATTAGAAACATTTCTTTTCATCCTAATTCATGGATTATGTGCTAAGTTTTAAGTTTACATAATTATTATCAAAAGTTACATATATTATTATACCACTTGTATCATAACTGGTATAAGCAGATCTCGGAACAAACACCGCTGTCTCTGAATGTGCATAGAAATCTGCTGGTGACAGCCTACATGTATGTTGGTCAATGTTCTCTAATATATGTAAACTCTGTGCTCATTATGTTCTTTTTCCTTTCAAAGCGCAGCAGATACCTTTATGTTTAAATAGTACAAAATCGGCCTTGAAATAAGGAGAAAAATATTATTTGTAAGTGCAAATCATTACAGCAAATGAGTCATTTATTTTTAGTGGTAAAATTTACATTAATTTTAATTAAAATGTCTTCACTAAGGGTCAATTATCTAATTAGTATTTTTCAAAAACTGATAACTACATTACTAATAATGTAATTAAGTATGTTATTATGTCTTTTAGTTGTATATATAAACGGACATTTGAAGTTCAGCTAAGTTAGAGCACTCTTTAAAGCTAGTGACATCTCAAATTTTCTTAGTACATGCAGTGTATATACAACAACATTGCTTCAGGTATAAAGTTTATCTAAACAGATGTTGTTTATTAATCCCATTAGTCACGTTTTTACCATATGACATAGTAGGAAGCAAAAAAATGAGATCCTTTAGCATATAATATTTCTTACACTTTCATTTTTTGAAAGCTGTAAGAGGAATTTAGAAAAAAATACTTTTGCAGGTTATGAGCACATTTACATAATTGTTCATTTCACTGGTGATCATTTTTCACTTCAAATATTAAAGAAGATGGAGCCATCTCTCTGGCAATAGAATTGTTATAAAAGTAATCAACACTGGTCTAAGAGAGATCAAACTCAACTATCCTCCAGAGAGAGAAAGACTGTATGGTTCTTAACTAATATCTGCCTTCTTAAGGATTATGAATTGCTAGTAATACACTTCCAGATAGATGGTATTCTTTCTCAGTATATGCTGTTTAGAGTATATACTATGGTGGAATGCAGATATGAGTCATAAGAGTTTTGGTTACTATTTCTAACTCTTAAATCATTGCCATTAAAATAGAAGTAGTTGTAGAAAATTTAGTAAAATATTATTTAACTATATAGCTACTAAATGTATGTAGTTTCTTAAGAATCAGTGGATAGACTCAAATTTATTTATAACACCTAAATTTAATTTTTTTGAAAAGATTTTATTATAAAATGTCTGTACATATTTTGGGGGTACATGTGATATTTTGATAGCTGTATAGGAGGTATAATGAAGAAATCAGGGTAACTGGAATATCCATCACCTCAAACATTTATCTTTTGTGTGTGTGTGTAATATTAATATTACAATTCTTCTTTCCTAGCTATTTTGAAATACAAAATAAATTATTGTTAACTATAATTTCCCTACTGTACTACTGAATACTAAAACTTATTCCTTCTGTAATTTTGTGTCCCTTAACCAACTTCTCTTCTTCCCCTCTTCCCTTCCCAGACTCTGGTAACCACATTTTACTCTCTGTCTCCATGAGATTTACTTTCCGAGTTCCTGCATATGAGTGAGAACATGTAATACTTAAATTTAATTATTATGTTGAAAAGAAAATATTTGCATAGACTCCTTCAACTCATTCCTGTGCTCATGCAGGTGTTCTCCTTGAGGAATATTTATCTTTCTGAATTAGCCATCACTCTTGCCTCGACCTTTATCTTCCCTGAGAGCTAAGTCCAGGCAGATGAACTGAAGAGAAAGAAGAGAGTGCAGTGTAATTCGCAAAAAGGTGATTAAGAGGCAGCAATGGAACCAAGATGAAAATGACTGTGAACTGAGGAGGTGGAGGTTCCTCTCCTCCATCCATGCGCTCAGGTAAGTGAGAGCATCTTCACTGGATAGACTGGCAAGGGTGCTGGGTCAGTTTCTGCAGTGTTGGAGAAGGCAGAGACCATGATGGTGTGCTGCAGGGACAGCCAGGGCCCTGCAAGCTCATAGTGGGGCATAGGTCATTAACGGCGATAGAAATATTGTATTTGCTGACATCTCTTATTTATATCTGTCATTTTTCTTCTGATGTCTTGCCATGTCATATACTTTAAGAATTATCATTTAGGAAAACAGCGAGCATTTTTTTTTACAAATACAAGATTGAAAAGGCTGCATATTTCCTTCTTTCTACACTTGTCATTCTTATTCAGCTTATTTGTATCTGTAGAGTATGAGTAATTTTTCCATGTGCAGAAATGCTGTGTGTGTGTAACTGACTATTGACTTTATCATATATTTGAGTAAAACTGAAGAAATAATAAGCAACATTGATATTTGTGCAGAAATATGATAAATGTGTAACCATGGTATTCATTAAGTTAAAAGCTCATTTTACTCCTGCTTTGGAAGAATCTGCCTAATGTGTCTGACATTTGAAATATAAATAACTTATGAGATCTTAGAGATAAAACAATGAAATACATTTATTGAATTTTATCTTTTTTTAAAATGTCAGCATTGGTTTGTAAATACATTGCTTGACATTGCACATTTTCAAAAGATTAACTACACTTTTGCAATCTTAAAATATTTTAAATTTTCTTTCTGAGTTTTTCCAGTTTATTAGGGAAAGAAGCATAAGAAAAAAAAATAGAAATGTTTTGTCGTAAAGGTGACCTAAAAGATAAGTTTAAATACAGGGAATTGGGCACTGTGTTGAACGTTTCCATTATTAGCACATAAGCGATCTTAAATAAATGTCTATTGCATTAGACACTCTTTAAGACAAAGTTATCATGGCTCTGCTTCAAAGGGCAGGCTGGCAACATATTTCAGGAAGGATGTGATGATTCTAACGTAGACTTTAAGCTATGAGAGCAATATGGCAGTGAAGACTCATGGACATTGTTCACTTCCTACCTCCCCCCAGACCTCAGAAATGTTAGGGGATGAGAAAGAAAGAAAAACCTGTGCTGCATATTTTCTAGGTACGAAATGGTATAAAAGGGCAATCTGATACTGCAAACTTTGGCTAATAAAACAAACTGACACAATTAAATGACCATTGAAAATAAACATTGTGGTTTCAAAGATTTATTTATGATTTATGGTGTCTTGATGTGGGACTGTCTTGATGTGGGACTGTTGCCTTCCTTTTTGTTTATTCAATAAATATCTGCTGAGCACCTGTACCCACCAGGCACTGTTCTAGGTGTTGGTGCTTCAGTGGTGGACAGAGCCCCTGCACTCATACAGCTCTCACTCTATGGGTTGGGATGCAGACAGCAAATCAGCAAACAGACACAAATACACAATACAATTTCGAATGTCAGGTGTTTAAAGCATTCCACCTGTTTTTTCTGAGGTAGTGGGGCAAATAACTTTCTGCTGGCTTGATCTGTGCTGATTAGGACACAGATCTACATAGATCTACACAGATCTTACAAACTATGGTTTGTAAGAAACCATAGTTACTCAGAAATAGAGAGGAGTATTTATATATTTATTACACATACATAATCAATAAGGATGCTGGGCATTTGATTTTTAGTTTACTTCAACGACAAAATGGGTCTAGTAATATTAGTTGTCATAGTTACTAGTACTAATTTAATGTTAATTTACTTAACATTTTAGCATAGGAAAAGGGTTATGGATTTATTATTTGTAAATTAGAAACACAATAAAATCTAGTTAAATTACTTGTTCTGGTATAAGAATCAGCATATGTGAATTATTTTTGCATTTGTTTAATTATAATGAAGTTCTTAACAAAATGAGAGCTATTAAAGGCCCAGGGCAATGGTACCTAAACTTCAGCTTGTACTTAGGAATTGCCCATGAACACTGATAAAAGGCAGATTCTAGGGCTCTGACATAGAACATTCTGATTACTTTATGTGCTGACTATTGTCCAGGAATCTGGGTTCTAAATAAGCATCCTGAGTGATTCTAATAAAGATGGTCCTGGATCCCCACGGAGACGCAGTCTTGTTGGGTTATATCAGATATATGTGAGTTGATTTTTTCTTTTATTTCTCAATGACAGTCAAGCAATTCCAAAGGGAACAATTTTAGGAGCTCTCTGAGATAAGAATCTAGTGACCAGTAGCAGAATGTATTTTACACAAAGAGTAATAGAGTAGTTTTATGCTGTAAGACCAAGTTCCTGGCCTCTGTCCCAGAGTAATGTAGGATCATTTAATTGATTACCAGGTGGACGCTAACCAAAAAAAGATAAATATTTGTAGAATTAGAGAAATACTGTACCGAAGTATAAAGTCTAATGGTGTCTGGAATTTTCTTTTCTTTTCTTTTTTTTTTTTTTTTTTGAGATGGTGTCTTGCCCTGTTGCCCAGGCTGGAGTGCAACGGTGTGATCTTGGATCACTGCAACCTCCACCTCCCAGGTTCAAGCGATTCTCCTGCCTCAGCCTCCCAAGTAGCTGGGATTACAGGTGTGTGCTTCCATGCCAAGCTAATTTTCGTATTTTTAGTAGAGATGGGGTTTCACCATGTTGGCCAGGCTGGTCTTGAACTCCTGACCTCATGGTCCACCTGCCTCAGCCTCCCAAAGTGCTGGGATTACAGGCATGAGCCACCATGCCTGGCCAGCCTGGAAATTTCAAAATGGTCAATCAGAGAAATAATTTTAAATGTGCTACAAAGTAATACTGTACTCCAAATAAGTTATGCATTCATTTGCTTAACTTTCATCCATGAAATCTTTAATTACTGCTTGTACTTTTGAAATCCTTTCCTACTGTGCAGTTTGTAAAAGCTCAAAATAGATACTGACAGCTAAAAGTAAAATAATCTAACCACATTATATTTCAACATTTAAGAAGAAAAAGTTCAAAACTAGTTGTTATCCTGTTTATTTCTGTAAATGCAAAACTCTCTTAATGCTTTTAGGTGAAGTAGGCCCAAATAATAGGCTATATTCTGTCATGTCTGACTAAAATAAAAATTCAGCCTAAGGAAACTCCTTTTGTGACATTATTTGTTCTACAAAAAGTACAAAAGTTAGCTGGGCATGGTGGCAGGCAGACATTGTATCTCCATGCTGCTTACTCTAGGTTGCAGTATGTTCCCAACACATTTTAATCATTTTAAAACGGTATTTCAATTTTTCTTTCAGTTTGTATGCTCAGCCACCTTTTCTCTGCACGTTTCCAAACTGAAAGGATTTTTTTCTCTAATAATGTATTAATAGAGAAATCTAGATTTTTGGATTAATATTCTTTAATAAGCAACTAGTTGAACAGAACGGGTTGTTCTCTAATTGATTATGATTCCCACTGGAACATTTCCCCAGGTTGAATGAAGGTCCAGGTTTTCTTTTCTTATTCTTCTTTCCATCCTCTATTCAGTTTCAGCTGAGAATCTACCAAACTAAGATTACGGTGACCAATCAATTTTAGGCAGGAAGGGGCTGCACTGATTGACTCAAATGCTTCCTTTTCAGAGAAACTAAAGCCCACGGGCCCATTTACCAAAGCGGGTGTGTTCTTATCCGTGTTTTCTTATTTTTCAAGATTCCAGACTAGTTATAAAGCAAATGGTATAACTGCTAGCTGATGGGAATTTCTGGAATGGGTTTAAGTGTGAGGAAGACAAAGGCCTAGTGGTAAGGTCAGCTCTGGAGGTAGATTATTTGGATTCCAATCAACTTAGTTGTGTGATGTTAGGCAAATTACGTAACTTTTCTGTGCCTCAATTTCTTTGAAAGAGGGTGTGTAATAGTATCTATCTCACACCGTAATTGTGAGGATTAAGTGAGGTATTCTACCAAAAGTATTAAAACATGCAGTTAAACTCTCAGTGAACCGTATTTTTATACAAATTACAAACTGTCAAAGCCTTAAGTCTTGAGCTCTCTAGGAGAGTTAGGAACCCTCCTATGGCATTGTCTTCTAAAAATCTGCTGCACAAAGTTGATGTTTGCATCAACTTTAGAGATCAAATGGATTACTTTTATGAAGTTTGGGGCAAATGAATTAGACACACACAGGAACCCCCTCCCCCAACACACAGAAGGTATGTGGATACCGAGAATTCAAAAGTCTGAGGGTGGCTGTGCTCAACAGGTAAAGGGATGCTTAGAAAACTGCCTTTTTTGGCCAGGCGCGGTGGCTCATGCCTGTAATCCCAGCACTTTGGGAGGCCGAGGCGGGTGGATCACGAGGTCAGGAGTTCAAGACCAGCCTGGCCAAGATGGTGAAACCCCCGTCTCTACTAAAAATATAAAAATTAGCCAGGCATAGTGGTGGGCGCTTGTAATCCCAGCTACTCGGGAGGCTGTGGAAGATTATTGCTTGAACCCGTAAGGCGGAGGTTGCAGTGAGCCGAGATCTCCCCATTGCACTCCAGCCTGGGCGACAGAGCAAGACTTCCTCTAAAACAAAACAAAAAACTAACCTTTTCAGGAGGAAGTCGGGACCTTCAGTGAGGATGGCTGGCTACCAAAGAACTGAACTTTAACACGTGAGTTGGTCTCCCTGCGACCACAGATGTCCAACGCAGGCCCACCTTCCGCCGCCTGGAAGGCCCAGGTGTGGCTGGAGGGCGGCTGAAAGGGTCAGAACACGGGACTATTCTCAACTTTGGGCTTTTACACAGCAGTTTCAAAGACAAAGGGGCTTTTCAGGTAGGTTTGGTTTGCCGTCCTCCTCCTCCCAGGTCTGAGCTTGTTCCCCAAGGTCCCCAACCATGCTTGGGACGTCCTTCAGTTTGCCCCATTTTCTTCGGGCCACCCCGCGCCCCTAGGTTGTCTGCCGTCCCTCCTAGCGAGAGGTGGATGGCCGCGACATTCCAGGGAGGAAAAACGGGGGGGTGAGGGGGGGCAAAGACGCCCTTCTGACCTCCTACCTCGGTGACGCGTCCCACCACGCCCGCGAGGAGCCCTCAGGCTACGCCTTCGCCGCGCTCGCTCCCCTAGCTCCGATCCTCGGCGGGGGGAGGGGCGCGGTGCGGCCGGCGCTCTCTGATTGGCTCCCGCGTCGGCGATCCACGCCACAATTGTTCCCTGCGACCTTCTGGCGCCAGCGCACTGCAGGTGGGGAGCGGACGTTGGAAATTGCTGGAAGTTGGAGGCAGGGGAGCGGTCACTCGCGGCGAGCGCCGGCGGCGGCCAGGGCGCAAAGTTGAGAGCAGTCCCTAGTCTGAGCCTTTCAGTCGCCCTCCAGTATCATCAGTACCACGGACTTCACCATGGACTTACCACTTGCTGCGGCCCCTCAGCAACCCAGTGCACCTGCCACTCCACCAGGTAGGTACGCCGAGGCACCCGGGTGTCGGACATCGCGCCTTCGCCGCCCTTTGCCTCCGCGGTACTGCCTGAGCGGGGTGCCTGGGAGAGCTGTGGGGATTGGGGCCGGTCGCCCGGTGCACTCCTCCCGCCGCCCCTGGAAGGGAGGCGAAGACAAGTTTTTTTTTACGGGAGAGCCCTCGCTTCGAGCTGCCTCCTCCCTCCTTCTGCGGCGTGCGCCTCGAGACCCTCATCCGCCGCCAGGGCCGGGGTGGGCCGGGCGTTGGGGCTGGCGATAGCCCCCGGGGAGGGTCTTCATATAGACTTGAGGGTGTGCATGCTGGTCCCTGCCCTTCGCCGCAGCGGGGCTGGGACTCGGTGGTCGGGTCCCGCAGCCGCCCTTGGTGCGCACGGGCTGGGGTGTAGACGGGGCGCGCAAGGCTGTATTTCGCAGAGGCGTGGTGGTGCTTGCCCCGAGCGTGGCTCTGAGCGACCATAGGAGAGGCTAATGCACCGGTCTAGGTGTGAATGGTGCATTAGAGATGGCGTTGATGGGTGCGAGGGGCACAGAGAGGCTTAAGTGCTACTGTACTTTGGAGACAGTTTGCGTTGGAATGTGGTTTAAGGGAGACAGAGGCAACAGTTTCGAGAAGGCAGAGAGGTTATGAAGGTAAGTCAGAGGGAGTTATTCCCAGGATTCTAGCTGAGAAAGTTGCAACCTTGTTGATAGAAGCAGCCACCTTTACCTCCTGGCCCAACCCTCAAAAAAGCACCTGGCAATGTCTATGGAAGGGTGGCATTTAAATGAGGCCAATCGAGTTTGATGGTTAAAGGGCCTAAGAGTTACTGAGAAATCAACAGTATTGTGATGGGAAAAGCAGCGCCATTTTTATTCAGCAAAGAAAGTTTGGAAATATTTTATTGTGAGTATTGAGGATAAGATTTAAGGAAGTTGTTGATGGGGTGTGTGGTGGGTAGAGTTAGGTGACTACTCTAGCCTCAGACTAAAGGTAGTTGACTCTTCAAATTTTACTTACAATTATTTCAAGCATACTTAACCTAGAAGTAAGTATTTGCACTTTACACGGGATACTCATTCGCGGTCCTTAGCTAGAATGTGCTCCTGTTGTTTAGTCTTCAGGGATTTCATTTATAATACAGGATTCCCCCTTGTCCAGACGACTTTTCCTAGCAGCGAGCTGGAAACCTGACATTAGGGTACAGGCTGCCCTGTGCTTTACTACTTAAAATAAAAGTATGTGGAAGGAGTGTAAAATAATTCTGCCTTCTGTTGAAATCTTGTATTGCAGTCATAACTTCCAGTTAAATAGTAAAGTACCTATCCCAAACTATCTTGAATAGCAGTTATAATGTGTATCATACGAATAAAGTATTGGTAGTGAAATTAATCATGTATTTGAAGAAAATACTATTCTCTGTTTATTAATAAATTGATCAAAATTTAGGGTTTTTCATCTTCTCAGCTCTGTGGAGGATCCTCTGTTTCCCATACTGACATGCAGTGTATGACCTTATAGCATATCAAACTCCTGACTTAAATAGGCTGCTTCCAGTGTATCAGCAAATGCCAACATTTTGCTAATGAGGAGCAAGGGAGTTGGACGTATACATTTGCATTTCTTTTAGGGAGACAAGTATATATTCTGTCTCTTCCCCCTCTTTCTTTCCCTTCTGCCAACCCCATGTCTGCCATAGGCTTACTCCTCCCTCTCCCATGCGGCAATATTTTCTTTACTATGCTAATAGTAAATACCTTTTAATTTATATAACGCATATACGTTTTTAAAAGTGATTTGATAGTAATGAACTCATTTGAACATCTCAGCAACCAGAGAAAGTTCTTTTCAGTACTGAAATAAGCAGGAGAATCAAGGGAAGGAGATAGGACTTAAAACATTTTTGACATTCTTCTTTATTTAGCCAGAGGTCTTGAGTTGGTACCTTGGTGCTACTATAAATTTGTACAGCCGCGTATAGCCCTAATTTGTGTAGTACAGTCGTGTACAGCATAGTGCATAGTGAGGTCATGAGACCTCATATATGATGCTGGTCCCATAGATTATAAGGGAACTGAAAAATTCCCGTTGCCTAGTGAAGCTTTAGTATTCGTAATGTCTTAGGGCAACACATTACTCATGTTTTTGTGGTGATGCTGGTGTAAGCAAACCTACTGTGCAACCAGTCCTGTAGAAGTCTAGCATATAGAATTATGTACAGTACATAATACTTGATAATGTTAAATACATTACTGGTTTATGTAGTTTCTATACATTTTATCATTGTTTTAGAGTATGCTCCCGTTGACTAAAAAGAAAAGTTAACTATAGAACAGCCTGAGGCAGGTCCTCAGGAAATATTCCAGAATATGGCACTGTCATAATAGCAGATGACAGCATGTTATAACCCCTGAAAGCCTTTCAGTGGGACAAGATTGGAGGTGGAAGACAGTGATATAAATGATCTGGACCCTGTGTAGGCCTAGGCTAATGGATGTGTTTATGTCTTAGATTTTTTTTTTTTTTTTTTTTTAAAGACAGGAGTCTCACTCTGTTGCCCGGGCTGGAGTGCAGTGGCATGATCTTGGCTCACTGCAACCTCCATCTCCCTGGTTCAAGCAACTCCCCTGCCTCGGCCTTCTGAGTAGCTGGGATTACAGGTGCACACCACCACACCTGGCTATTTTTTTTTGTATTTCTAGTAGAGATGGGATTTCACCATGTTGGCCAGACTGGTCTCAAACTCCTGACCTCAGGCAGTCTGTCTGCCTTGGCCTCCAAAAGTGCTGGGATTACAGGCGTGAGCCACCACGCCTGGCCTGTTTGGTCTTAGTTTTTGACAAAAAGTTTTAAAATTAAAAGTAAATAGAAAAGAACTTATGGAATTAGGGTATAAAGAAAGAATATTTTTGTACAGCTGTACAATATGTGTCTCAAGCTAAGTGCAATTACAGAAGACTTAAAAAGTTTATAAAGTAAAAAAGTTACAGTAAGCCAAGGTTAATTTATTATCGAAGAAAGAAGAACTTTTTAAAAATAAATTCAGTGTAGCCTAAATGTAGAATATTTATAAAGTCTATAGTAGTGTACAGTAATGCGTTAGATCTTAACATTCACTCACTTAGAACATCTTTCAGTCCTGCAGTCTTCATTCATGGTGAGTGCCCTGTATAGGTATGCCATTTTTTATCTTTTATGCTGTATTTTTACTGTACCTTTTTTGTGTTTAGATACACACATAGTATTGTGTTGGTTACTACGGTATTCAGTACAGTAAGTTGCTGTATAGGTCTGTAACCTAGGAATAATAGACTGTACCATCTAGCCTGTGTGTGTAGAAGGCTAGATTGTCTAGATTTGTTAAGTATACTGTGATGTCTACACAGAAACGGAATTGCCTAATGATGCATTTTTAAGAATGTATCCCTATCATTAAGCAACATATGAGTATATTTACAGTTGTTTTCTATTTGGGCAAGTCTTGGGAATATTTGATTAATACCACACAAGCCTTAACTTTTCATACTGATAATACATTGTTTCTTTGAAGCACCTAAGAATTGACTTTCTAGTCAATGAACTTCTTGGAATAACTAAAAACTCATATTGTAAAATTAGATGAATAAAATCATTTAGCTATCATTTTAAAGTTGAGCATTTTATAGAACATAGAACATTTTTATAATGTAAATAGTCCAGGTTGAGAGAAGGCTTATGAATTTGTTGTAATCAGATAGTGTGAGTCAACAGAAAAAAGACACATCAGGAAATGAAAAGTGCAAAAATATAACTTACCAGTATGTTAATTTGGTATGAGCAAATTAATAGTGTTTTGAAAAATTAGGAAATTATAAAAGTAGTTATTTGATGTCAGATGAAGAAAAGAACTTTAGTGTAAGCAAAACAGTTAACTTTTTACTAGAGTAAGTGTAGAATTTATGAGATGATAGAAATTGTTGATCTCTATGGAATGTAAGAATATGCCTTGCAGGGCCAGATAGTGGAAAGGAAGGGCATGTTTTGCAGTAAGGCTGAAGCCAAGGAAGGAAAAGGAGCAAAAGATCTTGCTGTAGGCTCCTGGATTGTTTAATTATTACTGAGAAGTCCAGAGTGACCTTGAGGTAGCCATAGTATTTGTTCAGTAGGCCTTAAATCTTAATAAAAATATAGAATCTATTATTAAGTGAGGTTACACCATGCTGTAAGATAGGAAGTATCAAGCATCTGAGGTTTGCTTTTGTAGGCCTTGCTTTCCAAATGATTTTATTGCTAGGGTAATGTTTAGTAGGTGGTTATGATTACAGGAATATATGGAGAGAAGGTTTTGAGGAAGGAATTGGACTAAGGGAGACCTGTGCCATGAAAAGGGCCAGATATGTAATTTAGAAGACACCAGATATCATTGAACATATTTGTATTTTTTATTAGTTTCTGATGTGCTGATGTTCAGTTCATCTGTAACTTAAAAAGTAAGGTGGACTGGGTGCAGTGGCTCACGCCTGTAATCCCAGCACTTTGGGAGGCTGGGGCAGGTGGATCACCTGAGGTCAGGCATTCCAGACCAGCCTGACTGACATGGGGAAACCCTATCTGTACTAAAAATGCAAGAATTAGCCGGGTGTGGTGATGCACACCTGTAATCCCAGCTACCCAGGAGGCTGAGGCAGGAGAATCGCCTGAACCCAGGAGGTGGAGGTTGCAGTGAGCTAAGATCACGCCATTGCATTCCAGCCTGGGCAATAAGAGCGAAACTCTATCTCGGGGGGTGAAAAAGTAAGGTGGAATGAAGTATTTCATAATATGTTCGCTGTTTGTGAGCGGATTCTTTTTTTATAACATGTAAATATATTTGACACTTTTGCATTTCCAATTTCATTTGTGTTTTCACTAATGTGTTACTTACCCTAATAGGGAACTGAATTTTTTTCCTCTGGTTTAGAAGGCAATACATTTTATTGTATAAAATTTATAAAATAAAAATGTGTAACTGAAAGTTTAAAAAATCACTCATTTTCCTTCACTCCAGAGAAAACTTTTGTTAATTTTTTTTTAGAATGCATGTGTGTATTGAAACAAAATTGGAGTCACACTGAATATAAAGTTGTTGTAATACAGCCACCATATTGTGAGGAAGCTCAGGGCATATAAAGATGCCTTGTATAGGTGTTCGAACCTGCAGGCCCAGCTAAAGTCTTAGGTGACAGCCGGCATACACCATCTGACATGTGAGTGAGTGAGCCTTTAGATAATACCAGTCGCTGGCTGATGGCAAATAGAGAAGCAATGAGGTATCCATGCTGAACCATGCCAAATTGCAGATTCCAGAGCAAAAGAAATGTTAGTGTTTGCAGCCACCAAATTCAAGGGTACTTTTTAGGCCATCAGATTATTCATTTTGCAATCATGTATTTTAAAATAATTGTAATTTAAGTATAACATATATGGTGAAATGCATAGACCTTAAGTGTGCAGTTTGATCAATTTTGACAAATGTGTACACTTGTGTAACTCATACTTTGTATCCCTTGTAAAGGTGAACATAGTAGACCAGAGTGAGCAAGGTATAAATGTTAGATGATTGGTGAAAGAGATTGGGAGGCCTTTGGTTATAATAAAAATATGATAGGAAGCTATCGGATTTTTAGAAATACACTTTGTATTTTAGAATAGTTTTAAATTTACAGAAAGTTGTGAAAATAATAGAGACTTCCCAAATAGCTTACATCTAGTTTTTCCTGTTGTTAACGTGTTACATTAGTATTGTCATTTGTCACAACCAGCGAAACAGTATTGGTACATTATTATTGACTAAATTCTTTACTTGATTGATTTCTTTAGTTTTTGCTTAAGGTCTGTATTAGTTAGCTGCCATAACAAAATACCACAGACTGCATGGATTAAACAACAGAAATTTATTTTTTCACAGATCCGGAGACTGGAAGTCTGAGATCTGGGTGTCAGCAGGGTTGGGTTCCAGTGAGGACTCTCTTCCTGGCTTGCAGAGGGGCACAGTCCCCTTTCCTAGGTGTATGCTTTCAGTGTGACTGGTTATTGTTGATGTTAATTTGGTCACCTGGCTGAGGTAGTGAAGCAAGATAATTTCCCTGACCCCTTTGCTGGCAGGAACTGGGATGTGGGTGCCAAAAGTAACCAGCCACTTAGGCACTGGCACGTGCAGACCCCACTCACTGGAACCCCGTGTGCTCAACCCCCTGTGGGAGGGAACACGCAGGTAAGCGAGTGCAGGAGCCGGGTTGAGTGCTTTTCGGCGCTGGCAGGAGCAGAACTCTGTGTGGACCCTGCGGCCCTAGAAGGAGTGTTACAGTCAGTACTCTTTTAGCTTTGCCATCCATGGACAGTTTAAATGCTAACAGCTCAGTGAAAGGTAAGTGTGACAGACAGCCTCTTGCACCTGCCTGGGAGAGAAGTGGCTGTTGGAATATGAGAAAGGGTGAATATGAAAGATTTTCCTTTCGAATGTGTTAAGATTCAGAGGCTTGCTAGACTTTGAAGTAGAAATATGGAGACCATTGAAAATGTGAGTCTGGAGTTCAGGGTATGGGGCAGGACTTAAGATTCTATTTGGTGGTTGCACATTTTATCCTTAAAGGATTCCATTGTATTTTTCACAGTAAGAATTTCATTTGATAGAGCAAAGAGCCTATGGTGATTTGAATAGAATGAGAAAAATTTAAATCAAACTTGTTTTTTTCCTGAAAGCATTGTGAATAGAAATAAGAGTAAAATATAGGTGATTTTCAGTCAGCATCTGTGACCCATCTGTATCTGACCTGAGTCCCAGCTGATATAGCCAGTTGAACAGTAGAAAATTCAGAATTTGATTTGCATGTCTTAAAGCTACTGAGGAGAAGAATTAGACATTTATTTTTTCCCCCTAGGAACTATGTGCGTATATTTTTGAGCCTTACCTTTTTTTTTTTTTTTTTCTTAGAGGGAAACCAGTCAGGAGTGGGAGGCCTCTGAACAAGCTGTATTCTGTGTAGCCGCCAGCTTCCATTTTTCTCCAGGCAGAACGCTGGCCCTCAGCACCTCTTTCTGCTTCCCCTTGGTCAGACCACTGAGGACTGCCGCTGTCCTGTCTGACTCCTCCTGTTTCGGTGAGTAATATAGGGAGGCTGAGGGTTTGATATTATTTGGCTCCATATTTTAAAAAGATATTTGGTAGTTATATAAAGTTCCATCTAATTTGATCGGTACTACTCAGTACTACTTTTAACTAAGTTGTTGTACAGAAATGGATCCTTTATTATTTAGAAAATATACTTTAAAGTTAATAATATTGGGAGAATTCCTGGTTCTTTCCTTTTCTCTTCCCTCTCCTTTAGTTCTTTATTTATTTTTAGAGCCTTTTGTACTGGTACATCTTCCCTTTCCTGGGGAGTTGATTTTAAAAATTAGATTTGCAAGAGGTATCCTTTTGGAGGATGATGAAAGCCACTTGCACTCAAACTTAAGGAAAATTTTTTTAAGTTCCCTGTATGCCCTTTTTAGATCCCATCCCAGAGAGGAGTGACTTCTGCAATGTTGTGTTATTTCCTTCCTTTCTTCATAGTGTTGTCAACAAATGAATATATGTATGTGGTAATAAACATGAAATTTGCCGTCTTCACCATCTTTAAGTGTGTAGTTCAGTAGTGATAAGTGTACTAACAATGTTGGGTAGTAGATCTCCAGGACTTTTTCATCTTACAGAACTGAAACAGTATACTAATTAAACAAATTCCTATTTTCCCCCAGGCCCAGCCTGGCCTTTTGTTTCTATGAATTTGACTGTTCTAGATACCTCATATAAGTGGAATTTCACAGTGTTTGTCTTTTTGTGAGTGGCATATTTGAGTTAGCATATGTCTTCAAGGTTCATCCATGTTGTCACATATGATATATGTTATGTGACTTATAAAAGCCAGAATTTCTTTCCTTTTGAAAAGCTGAATAATGTTCCATTTATAAAATTCTTAATGTTCATGTTACTGAATTTATAACATTCATGATTTGCAATATTTTTATACCTAGTTTAGGAAATTCTTCTATATCCTGAGATCATAAAGAAAGCCTTCTATATTTTTAAGAAATAATTTTTTTGTTTTAAAACAATATTAAATTTACAGGAAGGTTATGAGTACAATTCAGAGAACATTTTTTTTTCCTGAACCATTTGAGAGTAAGTTGCTGACTTGATGACCCATCGCTTCCAAATATTTTGTGGTATTTTCCTAAAAAAAGGACATTCTTCTGTGTAATATTAAAATGACCATCAAAATGAGAAAATTAATACATTTCCATCATCACATCTTTGACTTTATTCAAGTTTTACCAGTTATCTCATCAAATTCTGTTTAGCAACAGGATCTAGTTTGGAATTACAGGCTGCATTTAGTTCTCATGTCTCTTTAGTCTTCTTAAGTCTAGAACACTCCCTTTATTGAAGTGAGATGTATTCCCTCCTCTTCTGTTTCCTGGGAGGGATTGTATACAATGAGTGTTAATTATTTTTTAAATAGAATTCTCCAGTAAAACCATCTGGTCCTAGATATTTCTTTCCTTCCCTTCCTTTCCTTCCTTCCTTCCTTCCTTCCTTCCTTCCTTCCTTCCTTCCTTCCTTCC